TGGAAATCTAGAGGTCATTCCTCGCCTGTCGTCCACACTAGACCATGGCCCATCAAAATTCACACTCACTGGTGTTGAAGGAAGGGATTTCCTTTACCTGGATTTCTGGAGAAGTGACACCTGAGCCTCATACAGATGATCTGCCTGGTGTGCAATTCATAAAGGCGAGGAGTAGGACATAGTCTTCTAATACTCAGGCTGTTATAGCAGCTGAGAGGGCAGAAGCTGATAGTTGCCTGGGAAAACCAGAGTCTGGCTGGCAGTTCTGTCTTCCATCACCCCAAGGAAACTCCCAGCAATAAGTGAAAACTGAGGAATCACAGAGAATGCACTGAGCATTTAGCTTAAGTGATGTACAGCATTAGCTGGAGTAATCCCTCACTACCTGCCCGGCTAAACTGGTGTGCAGCTTTGGAGCGGATGGCAGACGTCGCTTCCTGGGAATCTGGCAGATGGTTACTGGCTGTGCTATTTACTTATAGGAGTGCCTGTTTGCTTCCATTGCACTCTATATATTTCTAAATAAACCAATGAGACAAAGTTACCGTAAGTCTCTCGTTCTAAAGGAAAGTCAACCCTGTAGCGCTTCCTCTGGAGGTTTTGAGAGAGAGAGATAACACAATCCCCAGCACTCCGAATTGTCTACAACTGTTTATTGGGACCATAAGCGGATGTACAAAGCCAGGGTGCAAATGCACATAATTAGTTTTTAAAAATTGGTACCAGTACCTGGCAAGTTTCAGCACCTTACTCTTCTGTTTGCTTTATAAGCAAGATTAGTTTTGAGCAATTAAGTTTATGCTTCAATGTTAAGGAAATAAATCAAAATAAATATTGGGGAGGGGAGAAGATCCTACCTACAATGTCTTGCAATGTGGGGCATTTCCACTGCAGGTTTCTAACCATTCCACCCCACTCTGTGGAGTTTCTTGGTGAGAACAAGTTCTTTCTTTGTAGAAAAATATTTATTTACTTATTCATTACTTACATTTGTCTGCTCCCTTTTACTCTCCTCCTCTCACTTTATCCTCACAGCAATCTAGTGAAGTAGATTAAACTGAGAAACAGTTTACCCGGTCAGTTTCATGACTCTATGACCCACATCCCATTCCAGTACTTTAATTGCATTTTCTTTTACACCAAATAAATTTCAGGATCAAATTCTCAAATAGTTAATAAATCAGGTTTATGGTAGGTTTATATATTGCAAAACATGCCTCTGCAATGTTACAGGGTAATTAAAATTAAACATTTTAATATGTTCTTACAGAAAAATCTCAGCTATGGTATACCCAGAAATATTCTTCTATTTATAGTATTTAATTTTAGTAATTCATGTTTGAGTAAATGTATTTTGAGACAAAAAGTTTTTTGTGTAAAGTGCAGGAAAGAGTTGTCTGAAATTATGGTTTCTAAAGTTTTTCTTTTCTTATGTTTTTTCTTGTTATTTTTGTATTATATGGGGTTAAATTGTTTTGAACTTCCTGAAGTTCTCTAGGTTTTACAGATGTAAAAAAAAGCCTGGGTTTGGTCATTTAGAGCCTTTATTGCTTTTAAAATGGGGGTTGGGGAAGTTCTGCGAACCTCAAAAGAAACCTTAACCCAGTTCATCCCACAGAGGGGTAA